CGACGAGAACGCTGCTGCGGATGCGCCCTCGGCGTGTGCATGCGATTCTGTCGTCCGTTCGCATGCTGCACAGCAGTTGGAGAAGCAGCAACGGCGGCAGCACCTTGAGCGAAGCAACAGAGAACAAGCCCTTTGACAACGTCGACGTGGACTGCTCCATGGTGGCCCACCTCAACCAGGAACAGGTGCGTGCGTGGTGTATGTGTGTGTGTGTGCCTGTGTGCGTGTGTGTGTATGTGTGTGTGTGTGTGTGTGTGTGGTGTGGTGTGGTGTGGTGTGTGTGTGGTGTGTGTTGTACACATCATGCGCTTTCATGCGCACACCATCCTTGCGCTCACAAGCACACACTCCGTATGCCCACAAGCACACACTCCTCGTGCTCACAAGCACGCAACTGCTCAAATATGCACCTGCAACACCATGGCGCTCTCTGTTCCCTCTCTAGTTTGCGTACGAGTTGAGCGAAGCCGTGTCACATTGGCGCCAGAACAACGTGGCTGCCGCATGGCTTACGGTGCGCTGCACATACATGTGCTCGTCATGTGTTGCAGTGTGTGGCGTGTGTGTGTGTGTGTGTGTGTGTGTGTGTGTGTGTGTGTGCGTGCGTGCGTGTTCATGCGAGTGTGTATCTGAGGGCCCATGGCGTGTGTGTTTGTGTGTGCTTGTATGGGAGTCTTGCCTCCTGAACGGCTGTGCGCGTGCCGTGGTACCCATCGGTTTGGCAAGCGGATGGTGTTTCTGCTTCATGTCACCGCACTTCAAAGAGCGTTGCATTGCTGCGTTTGTACCGTTGTACTGAGCACTCGCGTTCCCTAATCCCACCTCCCGCCGACCCCTCCCTGTGCACCACCGCCCAGGTCCCTGTGACGAGCGCGTGGATGGCAACGGTGGCCAACGAGGAGGGCTTTGTGCTCCACCATGCACGCAAGGGCATCATCAAGATGCTGCGTTGGCTAGACGAGTCGCGGCCGTGTCAGGTGCCACCGTACAACACGCACCAGGTTGCTGTGGCTGGCCTCATCATCAACGAACGCAAGGAGGTGCTGGCGATTAAGGAGAAGATCCAGCGCGTGGCCGGCTACAAGCTGCCTGGCGGCCGCGCAGACCCCGGCGAGAACTTTGGCGAGGCTGCGGTGCGCGAGGTGTTTGAGGAGACGGGCATTCGCAGCCGTTTCCACTCTGTTGTCGGCATTCGCCACATGCACGGGTTCCGGCACGGCGCGTCCGACATCTACGTCATCTGCCGGTGCATCCCGGAGAGCGAGGAGATCACCATGTGCGAGGATGAGCTGTCCGAGGCGCGCTGGATGCCGCTGGAGGACTACATCGACGACACCATGCCGCTCAACCAGATCTTCATGCACAACATCAAGCGCAGCGTGGACGCTGCCCGCGGCCGCCACAATGAAGTGCTCCTGGACGTGGACCTGCCGGAGATTGTCATGCCATCCCCGTACCGCGCCAACCAGCTCATGCATTTCTACCACGCAGGCGGGCCCCGCCCGCCGCCTTCTTCCACTGACGACGACGGCAGAGGGGATGACTGAAACAGTGGCATCACCGCCACGGAACGTGCGCGTGGTGTGTGTGTAGTGATATGTGCGCGCGTGTTGTGTGTGTGTGTGTGGTGATATATATGTGTGTGTGTGTGTGGATGAGATGAGGGAGAAGAAGAGGGAGCAGAGGTGTATACGTGTGTGTGTGCTCTGTGTGTGTGTGTGTGTGTGTGTGCGTGTGTGTGTGAAGTGCAAGACATGACATGCAGCAGAGGTGCATGCTCGTGTTTGTGTTTGTGTTGCTTTTTGTGGTCCTGTGCCGAATTGTTACCACACTGCCATACAATTTTCCCCAAACAACGGCACTGGCTGGCTGGATGGAGGAAAGACAAACAACAGTGATGACGAGCGTTGGCGTCAACAAGGTGGCTGCTGCTGTGGCGGTGGTGCTTGCCGTTCTTGGCCTGGCTGGCACTGTACATGCTCAGCTGCACAAGGGAGACTGGCCACAGTTTGGACGCACACCCAACTTTCACAGGTCTAACTGATGTGGCGTGTGTGTGTGTGCGTGTATGTGCGTGTGTATGCGTGTGTATGCGTGTGTGCTGCCCCAATTGTAGTCAAGTCCCACTGAATGTTGGTGGCGTGTGTTTCATCCAATCACTTGCTTCAACTGCTTGTGTTCATGACAGCTTCAACGATGTGGGAAACAACGGAGGACACGCCGAATGGTCGTACAACGTTCACAACAGGCAAGACAACCATGGTGTGAATCGTAATAACACATTGTCGAAACACAACTGCAATGGGAGGTGTGGAGGATGGTCATTGCGTTCTGGCTCTGCCTTGCCCTTTTGTTGTCTGTGGCATTGTGTGGGATGTCGAGAACAGTGACCGCTCACGTGTGGAGGGGTGAATTGTGCGCCAACCCACGAACTGCAGGGTTGTTGCCTCACCGGCTGTGGGTGGGGGCAAGGTGTTTGTTGGCTCTGACGACTCCAAGCTTTACTGCTTCAACCAGACATCGGGCAAGGTGCTGTGGACATTTGCCACGGGCAACGCCGTCCGCAGCAGCCCTGCCCTGGCGCAGGATGGATCCGTGGTCTTTGGCAGCTATGACGGCCATGCCTACCGTGTCTCTGGCGAAGGCAAACTGCTTTGGAAGACCCAGATTGGCGGACACGTACGTGCCCACCACTTGTGTGGCTCGAATTGTCCCAGACGCACGTTCGTGTGTGTCGCGTGTGACGTGTGTGATGTGTGTGTCTGTGTGTCGCGTGTGACGTGTGTGTGTGTGTGTGTGTGTGTGTGTGTGTGTGTGTGTGTGTGTGTGTGTGTGTGTGACACGTGTGTGTGTGACACGTGTGTGTGTGTGGTTTGTATCATGTATGTTTGCTTTGCTCAGCTTTACACACTGTGTCACAGATCCTGTGCAACCTAGTCGTTGATCCTCAAGTTTGTACACGCACGCGCTTGCATGCGCACACACACCCTCCCACACGCGCGCGCGCATCCATACCTCTGCTTCCTGCTTGTACCGGCATTGCACTCTTGTATGGCCAGGTGTATTCCCCGGCGACCATTGCCGCGGACGGCAGCGTGCTGATTGGTTCTGGCACAGGACAGTTGTTCCGCCTCAACTTCCACTCGGGCAAGGCCATCTGGGCCTTCGACTCCCACCACAGCCTGCCCATGAACAGCGGGCCAGCCATTGGCGACAAGCACCCCGACATTGTCGTGGTGCGCAGCTACGACCAGTACGTGTATGCTGTCAACTTCACGTCGGGCGAGCTCGTGTGGCGCGTGAACACACACGGCGGCGGCGGCTCCAGCGCGTGCATTGTCGACGATACGGTGTACATTGGCTCGTGGGACCAGAACCTTTATGCAATCAACATCATCACTGGCAAAGTCCTCTGGACCTTCAACACCCACGGCGAGGTGCTTTTGTGTGTGTGTGTGTGTGTGTGTGTGTGTGCGTGTGTGTGTGTGCGTGTGTGTGTTTCTGATTTGTCTGTGTGTGTGCGTGCGTGTGTGTGTGTACATGTGTCGTGTACATGTGTGCTTGCGGTGTACAGGTGTCGTGTACATGTGAGAGCACCATAATGCATTGCCCTTCATCACAGCAGGGCAACAACTCACGCTCTTGTCATTGTGTGCGCGCCGTCAGATTGAATCGCACCCGGCGTATCAAGATGGAATCTTGTACGTTTCATCCGAGGAGTCCATCACCGTCTTTGCTCTTAACGCAACCACAGGTGCGCTTGTGTACGCTGTGGTGTGTGTGTGTGTGTGTGTGTGTGTGTGTGTGTGTGTGTGTGTGTGTGTGTGTGTGTGTGTGTGTGTGTGTGTGTGTGTGTGTGTGTGTGTGTGTGTGTGTGTGTGTGTGTGTGTGTGTGTGTGTGTGTGTGAGTACAGCCAAGGCCCCGCTTTCTCCGCGCGCTGTTTGCTTTGCTGCCGTGGTCACACACGAACCGCGTGTTGCGTCATGTCACACCACACCACATCACGCCAGGTTCTGTGCTGTGGACGTACAGCAACAGCACGCAGGAGTTCAACGGGTCCCCGTCGCTTTCGCGAGAGCTTGTCTTCATCGGCGCCAACGACCACAACATGCACGTCCTTGATCGCTTCACAGGAGAACTCAAGTGAGTCACAGCACGGTTGCGTGTGCGGGTGCATCTGTATGATGGTTGTGTGCGTGGTTTGTGCGCGTGTGCGTCTGTGTGTGTGATTGGTGCATATATGATGGTTGTGTGATTTGTGCGTGTGTGTATATGTTCAATGAGTGTCATGTGTGTGCATGTGTGTACAACGCCTCACCCCACCTTCCCTCTCTCCGCCTTGCTCAGGTTCAAGTTCCCCACGTGTGCCAATGTGTTTGTGTCCGCTGCCATTGCTGACAACGGCATGGTGTACTTTGGCTGCAACACCGCCACCCTTGATGCTGATGCTGGTCCTGACACTGATGATGATGATGATGGCAGTGAGAACCTGGGCGCGGTGTATGCAGTCAACCCAGCCCTCCATCTCTGATGCGCCTTGCATCTGTTTCCGCGTGCCTTCGGTCGTTGAAACACCGCGCTTCCCGTATCAGCTTTCCTGCACACACACACACACACGCACACACACGCACACACACACACACACACACACACACACACATACACACACACACACAGGTTTTCTCTCTGTCTCTCTCTCTCTCTGTTGTCGCGCTGCCTGCTATCCCTCCCCAATTCGTCTTGCTTGGCATCAGCCTTTTCGGTGGTTCGAGTCCATTACATTCATTGCACTCATGCAACATGCGTGCGCACACGCGCAAACACCCAATATGAGAAGAGGTGAAAGAAGTCCAGAAGAACACAAAAGACGCAGCAGCCGGCCAGCGGCAAAGCGAGGGGTGGAAAGATGAACGGAATGCAAAGGGTCGGTTGTGTCACATACAATGCAACAGGGAGAGGAGGATGCACACACACACACACACACATACACACACACACACATACACACATACACATACACAGAGCTATGCATCTGTGGCTCCTGTCGGTGTGGTTGAATTGATGCTCTTGGGGCGTAGGCTCCGAATGGCGGTGGCAATGGACGCCAGGCTCATTGCGTCAGAATCCTGTGTGAATTCCGCCTCCATCACCCTCATCTCCAGCCTAGCCACTTCCTCCGCTTGCTTGCGTGCCGTTTCCGTCAGCGTCTGCTCCAATTCCAACACCTCTCGCTCCAATGCGGCAATTTCCTCCTGCGGATCAGCATCGTCAACACCATCGCCACCATCATCATCATCGCTGCCACTGCTGCCATGCTGCCCCTTGTGCCGTTGTTGTGTCTGTGGGGCCTCCAACAGCGTGCTCGCCTCGCGGCCCGACCCGCTCGTGATGGCTCGACGAGTCGTCCCTGTGCTCGCGTTTGCACGCGAGGTGCTGTCTGCTCTGCTGCTGTCGCTTCGCGTGTCGTCCACGCCTTCGTCCTCCTCGTCTGTGATGTCGCCGGCAATCAGGCGCTGCAGGCGTTTGTTGTCTTCTTCGAGCAGCGTGAACAGCGGGCTTGGCTGCTGCTGGCCGCTCACGGCATCCTACGTTCATGTGGTGCGTGGTGGTGGGTTGGGCGATCGCAAGCGCTGTGTACAGGGAGGAAGCCTGCAGCAGGCTGCATGCATACATCGACAGACACACAGACAAACAAACAGACAACAGAAAGACAGACAAACAGACAGACACATAAACACACGTGAACACACATGCATACATAAACGCACGCACACACACACACACACACTTATACGTACACACATACGCACGGGCTGTGTTTGGAGGAGCTGCAGGAGGTTTTCGAGGGCAACGATGGCGCGTTCCTGTCGTTTCACCGCGGGCTTGTACGTTCTGTTCTCGGCAATCTTGCTCATGAGGGAGGCCTGAAAGGCCTGCTGGGCTTGATTGGCTTGCTGCAGCTCCAGCAGCTGCCGGCTGATGTCATTGCTGACAATGAGCTCGTTGTTGCGACGGCGAATGCGCTCCTTCATCTCCTCGATGCGGCTCGACTCCAGCTTGCTTCGCTGCAGCAAGCGCAGCAGCGCCTGGAACAACTCTTGCTTGCCCAAGTCATACAACTGCTCAAACGCAGAATTGTACGTTTGATTGAGTGAGCAATGGTGTGCAAGCGAGGGGGGGAGGTGTATGTGTGTGGGTGAGAGTGTGTGTGGGTGAGGAAGCGTCGAAAAGGGGTCTGCACCCGGTCACACACGACTGCACACACATACAGCCTCACACACACACACACACACATACAGCCTCACACACACACACACACACACATACAGCCTCTCTCTCACACACATACAGCCTCACACACACACATACAGCCTCACACACACACACACACACCCTCACACACACACACCCTCACACACACACACACACACACACACACACACACACCTTGGCCGTTTCGATGATGATGTCTTCAGGAAACCCGCTGATGAGCTTCTGCGTGTGCTGGATCTCTTCTTGCACGATGTCGTTCTTACGCTTCACATCTTGCGTCTCCGCCACAATGCGCTGCAACGCGTCCTCATACCTTCAAACCACACACACACACACACACACACACACACACACACACACACACACACACACACACACACACACACACACACACACACACACACAC